AAAATGACAGTGATGAAGTAGCAACGAAAATAATTTTATGGTTGGGGGGGTCACCACAACATGAGGAACTGTATTAAAGGGTCACAGCATTAGGAAGGTTGAGAACCACTGCTTTATAGGGTCCCAATGAGTCTGAATCCATTCAAAGGCAGTGGGTTTGGTTTGGGTTTTTGAGTGCAAGGCTCGAAGCTTCTGCGTGATTTAAAGCTGTAATATGTAGCAAGTGAAGGTGCGTGTGAGGATGGATTTGTTAAGTAACTGGCAGCACAGTTGCTTGTGTAAGCACTGGACTGCTAACTGAAATGCCGTCAATTTAAATCGAACAGATGCTCTGTGGGAGAAAGATGGACAGATTCACAGGCTCAAAACCCTCCTGGAGCAGTTCTATTGGTCTTACATCAATGCCGTGAGCTGGTATCTACTCAATGGCAACAGTCTAGTTCAATCGGTTTGAGGTGGGGACACGTTTGTCCGGAAGTCAGACATAAGGCCTCCTGCCTGGCATTCACAGTCAGGACCATTAGCAAGACACCCAGGGATCGGTGGCCACATACCTGGCTGCATGTCAGCACACCAGAATCACCAGGGGAGGGGGGCTTTTACTGCTCCCTCAGGCCACACCCCAAGTCTATTATTAAACCAGGATGGGGGGAGAGGGGTTGGGAAGACGGGTCGGAAGCTTGCTCTCTTAGGCGGTCATCTGGAACACAACCACAAAGGGGGAGGGCAGGGGTTGGAACACCCACAACACTACAATGGCTCAGGAACTCCTTTCCAAATCTTTTTTTCAATGATTTAACAAGTAGTCTTTGAGCACCTACTATGTCCTGGACCCAACTTTAACAGAGGAAAAGCCCTTGCCACTGCGTCCACGCTCTCAGGGACGACACCGCGCAGAGTAAAGGGCCCTTAGGGTTTCTGACTCGAGAGCGGTCTGGACCCCGAAAGCGTCATCTCTCTCCAGCGGAGCAGCTAGTGGGTTCAAACAGTTGAGCTTGAGGCTAGCAGCCCAGAGCTCAGTGCACTCTGCAGCAGCTTATTTCTCTATGTGAAGTCCTGAAGTAGGGGCTGAAATACAGCAATAAGTTGGTGGCACAGTGGATGCTGCCCCCTGCGAGTTTCTCAGACCGTGAACTCTTTAGGAGAACAGACCATCCCATCTTTCTCCCGAGGAAC